CTATTTATATTACTAATATTGAGATTAATATTGACTTTGTGAAACTGCTTGATTAGAAATTCCTCATCATAATTTCAATGAGAAGGTTCAGCATACTTTTGCCACTTTAATTATAGAGAAAATGAATTGAAAAAAGGGAAATTTAACTCATGATGAAGAGCATGGCTTAGAATTAATAAAGTTCTGACCTACAGGGTTTTTTTGCCACAGCCTGTTGCATTTAATATAAACTTTCCAATGTCAAAGTTGTTATGGAATATGCTTTATTCTTCATAATATTCCAATTAAATGTATATTCAAAATAGACAAAACCTTTTTTTCTGGTTATAATTTTAGTCTAATTCCATTAACCAGAGTAAACCACTGCCACATTGTTGGCTTATTTTCTTCTAACCCTTATTATACACATCTGTACAATACAAATGTCATTCAGGCTCCACTGGCCATCACAACTAGAGTTAACTCAGGTTAACAACTCAGGATATGGATTTTGACTCAGAGCCTCTCTAAGCCCTATGATTCTCTCTGGCTCTCTGTTTTTCTGTCCCTGTGTATATTAACTTGTCCCTATAGTACATAGGTTGTAACCTTGGATACTTCACTCTTTCTATTAAGTCAATTCAAATATATAGGGGAAATTTATATTTATTAATAAATTACAAAGTCCTGAGTGATTATAGGGATGGATGACATCAGGAGCTATACCACCTTGTACCATCTAACTGGTTCCCCTTGCTCCCTGCACTTCTTACTGCCTTGGAAAAGCCTGGGGTCTTGATATATAATCTTTCATGATGTCTGAATGCTCTGAGAGATGAAGTCCAATGGATAATTTCTGTTGGAGTAGTGCTGCCATGCCTATTGACCTGTCTTACAATCCAGGAAGTACATATTTCATTTTGTTTCAAGAAGCTAAATACCTTATATATATACATATATATATACATGTATATATATATACACACACATCTAAACCCAAATTACAGTTAGAATAATATAGCCAGCTCTCATCCAACATTTTGATCTGTGTACTTTTCGAATATCACAATACCCTTCAAAAACATAATCTAATTTAGATGCATATTTTATTAAAGGGATACATTATAATTGTTAAGCTATTCTTATTTGCTTAATTTGATTACTTTTATTCTAAAATAAATAATAATATAGTGAATATTTTCTATACAGGTTTAATATAATTCTGCTTTCTTACTTTAGGTATTTTAAAATATTGAATTATTACAAATGGAAAAACTTAGGTATATAATCTCATTGCCAACTGTCCTATTTTCCCCAAATACATGTGAAAATGCTGTCTCATTAAATGTGTATACTTTTGTGTTTTAATTCAGAAATATAAAATGATAGGTCCATATTGCCTCAAATGATATTTCACTGAATTTTAGAAAGTTTGAACATTTTAAAAGTGTTTATTTTCCATTTGCTTTTATATCTTAAGATTACCTATAAAAATCTACTACCTAAATTTATTGTGTCTTTTCTTTAAAAATGACTAATAAAATATACATATACTTTTGCATGAGTAAATATGCCCCACTATTCAAGTGTCAAGGTGATAGGACATGGAGCTGAATTAAAGCAGTGATATTCAAGTCTTTATTCATTCACCACCACAGTGCCATCAACAGGAACAAAGTAGTACCAGGCATTTTTCCCCCTGAGGAACAACATAGGGCAAGAGTCCCATTGGATGTACCACAAATGAAGGAATCCTTTCATTGCTAAGGAGCCCTGAAAAGAAGGTTCTGGACTCTTTATGGACTTGGTGGGGAGAGAAAGAAAGTGGCCAGAGTGTAAAAGTATTAAGTCAATGTGGAAAAATGTGCCTCAGTGAAGGACCCTTCCATAAAGAAGTTGCTCTGCAGGCACTTGAGAAATGCTCCAGCTGAGGCCCTCTGCTTCCCCATGATGAAATAGGCCTCTGAATAAGGTGCATGTGTTGTTGAGAAGAATAAATAATCTGCAACTATTGTGTGCTACATTTTGTTATCATTTAGGTAAGTGGATTGATAGTGCCATTTACGTTTTGTGTATCTTTACTGATTTTCGGTCTATTTATTCTACCAATGACTGAATAGGAGGTATTCATATCTCAACTATAGTTTTAGTTTTACTTATTTCTCTTTTGGATTATGCCAGTTTCTGCTTCATATATTTTGAAGCTCTGTTATTAAATGCATAATTCAATATGATTAGTTGACCTACTTATGTTGATGAAATAAAGTCCTTCATTTTTAATAGTTCATTACATTGAAATCTACATATAGTGAAGATTTCTTACTAATAAAACTACACCAGTATTCATTTTGCTTAATATTTATATATTTCATTATTTTGCTTAGTTTTTATATTTCTCTTTCTCCTTATTTTGCTTTCAACATGTCTCTATCTTTTTATACAAAATGAGTATCTTTTATATATTAGAGATTGTTTCATATGCCATTAGTAATCTCTACCTATTAATGGAAATGTATAATCAATTTATATTTACTGGGATCGTGGATATAGCTGGATTTAAGTGTATCATATTACTATTTGCTTGTTTTATGCCCTCTCTTCTCTTTCCCTCTGAATGTAAATATATTTGTTTTCTCTAAGTAGGAGAAGAAATAGTTTATAATTCTTCTTAAAATATTATAGCTTAACATATAGTCTCTGAAACATATTAATAAATTAATAACACAAACATCAAAGTAGAAAAATATCATTTAAAAACTTCCAAAAAATATTATAACCTACAAAATTGCAGTTTCTGTTTACTTCCTAAAATAATTTGAATATAATATGTATTTTATTCTTTAACATATTACCCTGAACCTAAATATCATGAAAAATAATGTTAATTCCCACCATTCATACCCATTACACAATATGAAAATATATTTGTGAATATACATTAAATTTTAAATTACTTAATTTAAATATAAATATTTCAGAATTTCAATCTAGCCATAACTATAATTATTAATCAGTAAGGAAGACTGTATATTTGAAACAATATTTTATTGTTAAAACCATTAGTAATGTGCATTATCTTCATCATCATCTAAATTTTAACCCAGTGAGAAGGACAAGGGCATTCCTTCTTGCTAATATTTTATCTAATGGAAGTCATCATTTAAGGTAGAATTATAGAGAAGGCAGATTTGGCAAGGTGATGGTAAGTCCAGTCAAGTTCCTTAAAAAATAAAACTGGATTTAGAGTCAGTAACATACAGATAATTGTTGAGACACTAGAATAGGTGAGATTTCCTACAAATAAATGATGGAGGAAGAAGAGAAACTTAAAAATAAATGCAAAATAAATGCTCAGAGACTATCCTGGAACAAAACAGAAATGAAAACCCAAAACATAAGTAATATAAAAGAAATTCAAACCAAAGTAGGAGAGACATTTCGATTAGGCAATCTCCTATTAAGGAAAGGGTAAATATTTTTTAAAGGAAAAAGAGGTGCTAGCACATCGAACTGAAAGTAGGTATGTATAGTATCTAAAAGAAAGAGTACCTAAAAATTACATACAGTAAGTTTAAATCTATGTTCATCCCTCCATATCAAAATATATGAACTTAGTTAAATATTAAAAGCTCAACAGACATTTTAATTTCCTATAAATTTAATGGTATTTAAGTGTAGATCAAATGAAGTAGTAACTAAAAATGATATGCTATAATATCTAAGGTATTACAGCTTGCAAAATAAATATATTCTAATCCTGTATATTTTTGTATAGTAACATTGTTATATTTTAGCAGGTTTCCAGAAGTATACAAAAGTATACACATAAAATTTGTCCATAATTCATTCCATAAGTTGGCTTTTCATTGCTTAAAAAATATTTTGTATTTAGAGAAAAAAATAAAATGAATGCCATAATTCTACCATCATTTGCCAGAACAGTTTTAAGAAATAAAGCATTATAGGGGCACCTGGGTGGTTCAGTTGGTTAAGTGTCCAACTCTTGATTTTGGCACAGCTCATGACCTTACAGTTTATGAAACTGAATCTTATAAGGATTCTCTCTTTCTGCCATTCTCCTACTCATGCATGTGCTGTCTCTCAAAATAAATAAACTTTTTTTAAAAAATGAAGTAAAGGATTATAAATAGATTGGAAGTTCCCTTTGTACCCTTGCTGATTTCTTTCCCCACCTGTCTCCTTGGAGAACCTTTCTAGTTAAGCCAGTGTGTGTTTCTGATATACATATTTATACTTTTGCTATATATTTATGCAATCAGAAAATATTTAAATAGTTAAAAATTTAAGTAATCATTATCAGACTATGTGTGTATCTATCAGTCTTCAATAAGATTTTAAAATTCAACATTATGTTTTGATGCTTTTTAAGTAATAATATATGTCGCTATTGTTCACTTATTTTAAACACTCATTATAATCCAATGGTGTGACTATGCCATTATGAATTTATCCACTGTCCTATCCATAGGTTTTAGTTTGTTTCAGATTTGCCATGAAAATTCTTGTATAGGTCTCTTTCAGTGCACACCTGATAATTTCTCCAGGAGACATAACTGAAAGTGGAAATGCTGACTTTTAGGATATGCCTTACATTGTGTAGGGAACACCCATTGTGTATTTGTAAAGTCATTTTAAAAGCTATCCAAACGTGTATTTGTGTATCCTAACTCCAAGACTAATTTTATTCTCCATCTACTTTAAGAACTTAAGGCATTAGTGACTGTGGTTTTATATATACAGAGATATATTACCAGGACTCAATTAGCTATATAGTTATTTTATAATAAACACACTTAGTGGAACTCTTATTAATGTCCCTCCTACATAATTCTTAGAAGTTAAACATCTCTACGACTAAACTTTATATAAGTCATGTTTAAATATACCTATAAGGATATAATTCTCTGGCTTAGATTAATAAAAGCATTTGAAATACAGACTGCCTGAAGCTATTGTATTTTCAAGTGTTAAATTACTCTGCCATGTATTAAATTACTTACTCTGAGTCTTCCACTTATATTGAAATACCATTCTTCATTCAGATAGTTGATGCTGAGCAGTCTACAGTGGTCAATTACTTTCTCACAGTTTTTTCCAGTAAATCCTGGCAAACAACTGTAAATACATCAGTGTAAATAAGAAAAGTTACAATTTAAATATTATCACAAAAGTCTATTAACAATCTGACAAAAGTCATAATGCTTTGTTTAAATTATATACAATGCCTATTATTACCTGATATTTTCAATCATTAATTTTGTCTATGCATACTTGTGTTCTTAGTGATCTATTTAGTGAGAATCAGAGTAAGCCACACTCATTTAATAGCCTTAATATTATCTTTTGAGAATCTAACAGTAAAATCAACTTTGGCCTAACTGAATATTTAACAATAAAATACAGGTTTTAGAAAACTATTTGAATAAATAAGACCATTATTAAAATATGAAAAAGAAAGGTGACAGGTGAGATTTCTAATGCTTAGTAAAGCCATTATCCACTGATGATTTGCTGCAAGGATTTGACGACACACACGAATTTGAGACACAGTATATAGAGTTACAGTGAACAGTAATGGTATGGTCATAATTGGGCTAATTGCAGAGTTTTATTTATTGTCATGTTTACTTTTTTGAAAAAAATAAAGCAATCTTGTAGTGTAAATGCCTAGAAATACGCTTTTTTGATTGTAATGGAAATGCCTGACATCAAGCTTTTGACTGCCAAGGCAACCACTTCAGACATCCATCCCTAATAAATATACTGCCAGCTGATTGACACAGCTACTAGCAACACAACTTGAGCAGAGGCCAGGCCTTCCCCTCCCATGAAGTTCCTTTTTTACAAAGTCTTGTGGAACTAAATAACCGACAGCTTGAGTGACCCTACTTTTCCTTTCTTATTTCCTAATTCTCACTAATTCCCACTCCCTAATTCTTACTCTTTCATTCTAAATTCACCAGTGAAGAGTGAATCTGTGAAACTGCAGTCACCCCATTCTTGAATCCAATGAAGGAAGAAACCTAGGTCCACATATTTCTCTCTCTCTCTCTTTCTCTGCCAGCAACTTGGCCGCTAGCCTATGGGCACGCCTTGTACCCCCAGGACTTAGGAATCCTAAACCTTGTTTTTCAAAGATCCATAATGGTTGATGCTAGGTGCATCTTGCAATCGTATGAGCCACAGGGGCCAGTTCAGCCACGACATTGGCTTCTGAGGGGGAAACATATGCAGAAGCTGCCACAAGTGGCATTGGGCCTGGTGATGCCCCAGGTGTCCCTGGCTGATAGCATCTCTATCAATAGGTTGAAACAAGCACAAAACAAATCTGGATTCCAGTCTACTGCAATTCATGAGCTGCAATCAATAAAGCGCTAAGAACACACTGTGTTCTGTCTTCCTTTGACATCACTCATTAATTTGTGAGAAATATTCATGTATTTTAAATCCCATGTAGTAAACTTTCTTTTAAAAAAAATTTTTTTTTAATGTTTTATTTATTACTGAGAGAGAAATACCGTGAGCAGGGGAGAGTCAGAAAGAGAGGAAGACACAGAATCCAAAACAGGCTCCAGGCTCTGAGCTAGCTGTCAGCACAGAGCCCGATCCAGGACTGGAACCCATGAACCATGAGATCATGACCTGAGCCTAAGTTGGATGCTTAACCAACTTAGCCATCCAGGAGCCCCACATTTAGTAAACTTTCTATCAAAAGTGAATGGAGCACCAAATTAAACGATATGTCTCTCTAAAGTAGATACTAGTGATTTAAAGACTGAAGTCAGATTTCTTAAGACAAAGTTGTTACACAATGATTTAATAATGAAGCAAATTGTAGCATATATTAATTGTTTCAAATTTATTATAAGAACATAGATGAGTTTCATAAAAAAAGGAATCAAAGGCAACATTGACACAGTTTAACTGAAACAGTATCAGTAAAATACTTAGTAATTCTCTTTCCTAGATGTCCGAGGCACAGTGTGGTACTTTCAACTTGTAGAATTAAATAATTCCCTCAATTATGTCAGCAATGACATCCACTTTTTAGCACCTACTCTGTGCCAGCTACTAGTTTAATTATTTTCACTATTTTCTTATTTTCATATTCAGTCCTTATAAACCCTGCGTGATACATATTTTTACCACTATATTAAATGAAGAATCAAACTCAGATAAGTTAAGAGATTTTCTATGGTCATATCACTAGTTTTAGAGCTATTATTAAAATTAAGCATGGCCTAACTTTATATGCATTATATCTGCTACTCTATTAATAAAATCTGTTAGGACATGTTTACCTTACTTCTCTCATTCTGAGGATCTACTTAGAAAGCCAGAAACCACTCCAAGTACCACTTTGTTATGAAAGGAATCATTCCCACTCTCTTTTACTGGCGATAAGGAGTAGCAGAAATAAGGAAATATCAGAGTATCCTAAAATTTTGGTTTGGTGATTTATACTTAATCATGTATCAATTTTCCTTTGGGAGAGAATGAATCAAACTGTTGAAGCCTAGCTAAGGATATGTGTAGTATTTGGACTTATCTTACTCTGGAGTATGGTTTCCAAGAAGAAGGATCAGGACTATAAATTAAATCAGAAACAATATTTAATCATTCATGAGATCAGATTAACAGGTTCCAATGAAGATTAAGGAGCGGCAACTGCTAGAAAGATGTTTCTAAAACAGTATAATTTATTAATTATGAAAAATTGGGCCAAAATATTAGCACCCTCATAACATCCTAAGAAGGAAGCCCCAAAACACCACCTATAATACTTGGCCCAGGGAGGTTTAACCCAAAGACAGAGGAAATCCATAATGAGAAATTTTTCCTGTTAACAGGCTCTAAATTTTCCATTCCTCCACTCCTACTCCTTGTTTGAAATCTAAGAGGAGCTCTTGAACCTTGTCCTAATGACATCCTAACAACTCAGGCTGCAGTCAAAGAAAGAAAAGACAAGTATGAACACTTAAGAATTTAAAACCTGGGTGCCTGGGTGGCCAGGTTGGTTAAATGCCTGACTCCTGATTTCGACTCAGGTCATGATTTCACAGTGGTGAGATCGAGCCCATGTCAGTCTCCATGCTGAGCAGTGGAGTCTGCGTAAGATTCTCTCTCCCTTTCCCTCTGCCCTTCCCTCATTCACTCTCTCTCTTTCTCACAACAAAACAAAACAAAACAAAACAATGCTTTAAAGCAGAGAAAACAAAACCAAACAAAAAGAAAGAAAAGCAAACTCTAGCATGATGTGGATACTTTGAGAAATTCTATTACAAAAGTGCAAGTAAGGATGAAAAATGCTTAAGGTAAGGAAAACTACATAGAGAGAAATTTCACATAGAATCTACATTTGCCTCAATAAGTTAAACAGAGAGGATTTTTATGAAATATAATACATAAGATAATATTGAAATAGTATATAAACAGGGAGGTTACTTGGTAGCTAACAAAAATAAATACAGTCAATAGTTAAGAAAGAAATGCTTTGAAATAAAAGTAAGTAGAAATAAAATATGTTCAATACAAACACTAAAATCAGAACCATCAACTCACTCCTTCCCCAAAATCTGTCAAAAGTAGTATACGATTCATATTTGAGAACACATAGCAAAACATGGAAGAAAGAAAATGTAAAAAATGAACACTTAAAACACAGTGAATCAGAATATTTTAAAAGCTTGATAAGGGCAAAGATAGATTTTATGAACTGGTTTGTGTGAATATCAGAACACAATAGCTAATATTTGGCAATTTTCTGTAAATTTTATTATATTTCATTTTCTACCCTTTCTTCATTCATATTTCAACCTTGATAAAATAAATTGGCTTACTGATACATTCCCTATGAAATTACAATAGGCATAAATATTAAGCAAAATACAGTACCTAATAATTTTATTTTAAAGGAAGCCTTAGTACAAACTTATATTGACTACATTTTTGCATCAAGAGAAAAGTACTACAATTAATGAGGCCATAGTCATTTATTTAAAAGATCATGAGATAGATATTTTTCCAGAATGTGTAATTAAGAAGTCAAGAGAAAGAACACAAATACACAGAAATAAAAATGCAAAAGGGAATATGAGGACAAATGGAAGCTAACAAGACTACATATTCCTTAGTGCAATTATGCCAAAAAGTTTATGTTAAAATGTAGATTGCCAAAATTGAATGAAAATAAGAATAGTTGAATAGAACAAATATTTGGTGCAACTAACTTCAAGATGCCAGGCTTATTTATTTATATGAATGAATAATTCAAATTCCTATTAAAGAGATGATTCTTGTGATATATTAGTCTTGATTCTAAGAAAATGTATGCTAGTTACCTGTCAATTATCAAAAATCATCAGAATGTGAATGCAAAAGACTCAAAATTTACAACAAAAATAGTTACCACAAAATTCATATTTGTAAATGAAAATATGTTGTATCCATTGGCACAAAATTATATGTCTAGGAATTTCTCCTGAAGAAATAATCAGATGTAATAAATGTATATTTACACCCATATTTCTGCCATGATATTCCAAAATGTCTACAGAAAAGAGACAACTTTTAATGTAAGAAGTCATTCTAATCCAGCATCCTGGCCCACCGCCACTCTTCCATATGACCAATAATCCAAGGACATTATAAATAATAAACCAATTCCTGTCCCAATTGCCCATTATTCTTCAGAAACCTTGGTCATCAAAGTTTCATGTTAATGATTCTGATTTTCATTGTATATTTTAAATATAATTAATTTAGTACCAATTTAGTTTTTTTCTCATAAGATGTAGATTTTACTTTTGAGTTGAGAAGAAACAGTACATGTTGTTCTCAGATAACTACAAGCAGTTCTCTCTGACTAGAGCTCAAAGTGAATAATAAGGGGAGCAAGAGTAGAGAAAGGAGAATGAGATCATGAAAGGATTTGTAAAGAGTTACCCAAGTATCAAAATTTAAGGCTGCAAACCAGAAAATTTGGAAGTAGGGAATGGGAATGGAAGAAAATAAACAACCCAACAAGTACAAATGATGAAATAGGCCTTGTATGAATTAACTGTAATATGTCATTATATTGAAGACTATAATTATCTTAAATCACTTCAATGGAA